CCGAACATCGGTGCTATTAAAATTTTTCCTTAAAAATACAATAAATGCAAAATAAAATAAAATAAAATACAATAAAATGCAATAAAATAAATAAAAGAACAAAAAAAAAGGATTAGGCCCAAATCCTTTCAAAATACAATAAAATGCAATAAATAAAATAATAAAGAACAAAAAAAGGATTAGGCCCAAAATCCTTTTCAAAATACAATAAAATACAATAAAATGCAATAAAATAAAATAAAATACAATAAATGCAATAAAATAAAATAAAATACAATAAAATGCAATAAAATAAAATAAAATACAATAAAATGCAATAAAATAAAATAAAATACAATAAAATGCAAAAAAAAATAAAAAAAGAACAAAAAAAAATAATTAAATAAAAAAAATAAAAAAGGATTAGGCTCAAAATCCTTTTCAAAAGAACCGTTCTTTTGTCTTTGTTTATGGTTGTCATTCAACGTGAGTCCCCCCCGCAACCCGCGTGACGTTATTACCCCGTTCCACTGAGATCCCCTCGCACCTCACCTCCTTGAGAGGACCTGAGTTAGAACGGCCCTATAATCTACTTAAGCTCATACAGCACAGAAAAGTTGCAAGACATTGCAGAATATTTTCGTTTTTGAACATTGCATTATTGCAAACTTTGCTATATTATTATTGTAAATTATGGCAATATTAAGATATTCTTTTTAATGTCGCAACGAAATAATATATAATGACAACAAACATATGGTTACATTCAATGTAATGTGCAACGAAACGTCGTGGTTACATTGCAATGTAATGTGTTGAAAAGAATACACATTATTGCAACCATCTAGTATATTTGATATTTTCTAATAATATTTTCATGGAATATTTTTGTTTTATGATAGATATCTCGGAAGCTTGTAAAAACTTATAAAATATAATTGATTGATGTTCTATGTTCTTCAAACTAGAACTCTAAAATGTGTTTATTAAGGGTTTATTAACCAATGTTTATTAGTGTTTTTATATATTAAATTTTTATCTCAATAATCTATACACACCATCTTATATACACTCGGAAATAAGAATATTTTATGTATAAATAGATTTTTTATCCATCTTTCTCTCTCTCTCTCTCCCTCTCCCCCTAATTTCAAATAATCTGTTTAATATTCTGAATCCCAATCCAAAATATTTTAAATTAACTTAATTATTTTAAATCAGAAATTAAATTGACTTAACAAGAAAAGAAATATACTTTGGATTTTATGTTAGTACCAGCCTTTATAAGCTTTATATCCATTTCATATGAAAAATTGAATAAGTATTAGTTAAATTTGGTTTCGCCGCATAGCGAAGGAAACACCACATATTATTACATATTTTCGCTATTTTAAAATGTGTTGCAACAGTACTAAAATAAAGCAATGTCTATTGTAAATAATGTCTTTGCAATATTTCTATATCTATTATAAAATAATATTTGCAATATTTCTATATTCTAATATTTCATACTGCAATGTGCAATGTTGTAACAAGCAATGTTACTGCAAACTCTCTCTTGTACGCAAGAGAAAGAGAGAGAGAAGGTTCTAATTTAAATTTAAATAGTACAATATAAATTATACAGGATAGTCCATTTAAGTAAGGTTACGTAAATATTTTTCAAATTTGATGATGCAAAAAAATATTTGTTATATAATGTGAATGGTTTCGAAGACTGATATCCGACAAGAATATTTTCCAAAGTCATGTTTTTTGGAGTTTTCAAGGTCATTTTGATGTTTTTTTTACAATTATATTTTTTATTACATCGTGTAGCTGATCAGTAAATGTGTTCAAAACATGCGTAATAACGTGACTTCGAAAAATGACCTCGATTTCCAAAAATTAAAGTTTACGTGCAATTATGTCTATCAAGATCGCAGGTTTTGGCCAAGACGTAACAATCGAAGCCTATAAATATAAAATAAACATATTTACTATTACAATACTGGTAATCTATGACCGGTTTAAATATTTTTTTCATTTTTAATTTGTTAGAATATCTACGTGTACAAACTTGCATAATTCAACGCAAAAAAAGATTAATATGATATTCATTTGGATAAAAGTGATTAGTGTTTAAGGAAACAATTCGAATGTTACAAAGTTAGAGCTCTGCTGATATTAATTCTGAAAATATCAAAGATTATTATAATCGGTTATTGCTCGTTTCAGACAGTCGTAGAGGATATCATTTGGACATCTACGAAAATATTAACTTAAAAAGAAAGTGAATGCTGCCATATACATTTCATGATAAGCCTTCTAAATATTATTAGTGCATAAATATTTTTTATTGCACTAATAATACATTTATAGGTTTAGGTCTCTCAAAGCCTACTATCTCGACATAAATTTTATGTAAAATTTTCAAGGTCATGTTATTACAATGTCTGAACATATTTTTTATCATCTACACAATGCAATAAAAAAATTATATTATATTGCAAAAAACATCAATGACCTTGAAACTCCGAAAAAAAATGACCTTCCTGAACCAAAAAAAACTTTTGTCAATATTGTTTTTGACCATTTAATTATATAAAAAATATTTTTTGTATTATATACAATTCGAAGAGATTATTAGGTGGCTTACAAAATGACCATGCTGTATTATCATACTATATCATATACAGGGTGTCAATTAAGTCCCGGGACGGCTGAATATTTTCTCATGTAAGGTATTTTTGAAAAAGGTCAAGGTCATTTCTGAAGTAATTTTCAACGAGGAATTCAACGGTGACCTTCAATTTGACCTTGAGCTTGACCTTCAAGGTTTTGAAGGTCAAAGTGTTTTTTTTAAATAGGAACCCCTATTTTTGATTGTATATTCTTATAGCTGACCTCGAGAGCTTTCCAAAACACTATAATAAAATATTTTTCCCTCAATTTATCGAGTTATGATGCTTCAAATCATTTCTTAATTTTACATAAACCGTAAAATATCTTGTAAAATATTCACTTTTCGATTATTTTACCTTAATACTTTTATGTACAAAATAATGAGAGGAATCAATTGGCGTAAAGAAAACATATAGTTGTTTTTAAGAAAAAATATGTAATTTGCAATTAACAATTCCATATTTTTTCTTAAAAACAACTATATTTTTCTTTACGCCAATTGATTCCTCTCTATTTTGTACATAAAAGTATTAAGGTAAAAAATCGAAAAGTGAATATTTTACAAGATATTTTACGGTTTATGTAAAATTAAGAAATGATTTGAAGCATCATAACTCGATAAATGCTTGAGAGAAAAAATTTTTATTATAGTGTTTTGGAAAGCTCTCGAGGTCAGCTATAAGAATATACAATCAAAAATAGGGGTTCCTATTTAAAAAAAACCACTTTGACCTTCAAATAACCTTGAAGGTCAAGCTCAAGGTCAAATTTGAAGGTCACCGTTGAATTCCTCGTTGAAAATTACTTCAGAAATGACCTTGACCTTTTTTCAAAAATACCTTACATGAGAAAATATTCAGCCGTCCCCGGGACTTAATTGACAACCCTGTATATATATATATTATATATACTATAATATTAATATATATAATACAGGGTGATCCCGAAAAACCTTCCATCTGTAAAATGACGTACACCATTCTAGAGACAATTTTTTTCCTGACACCATTCTAAGTACAATTTTTTTCTTTACCAAAATTTGATTTGACGCGTAGTTTTTTGAGTTATAGCAAAATAGTTAGTAAATCACGCGTCGGGTACAGAAGGCAGGCAGAAGCGGCTCGGTGCGCCGCGAGGCGCGGGCGCAGCTGATCGCCCGACGGGTGATTACCACTGCATGAGTCACTAACTATTTTATTTTATACATAAAATTATGCTTTAAATATAAAATTTTGGTTAAAGAAGAAAATGTATTAGAATTACATCAGGAATACGTGTTCCTTAAAAATAACGTTAATTATTAAAAAGTTATTCCGGATCGGCTGGCCGTCGAAAGCTGTAATCAGTTGATTGCTACACGCGATGTGTGTATGACGGAGTGTGTGCGTAAAAGAGAGAAAGAGAGAGAGAAAAAAGTGTATGCGTACGTGCGTGCGTGTGTGCGAATGTCTGTCTCTCTTACCCTCCCTCCCTCCCTCTCTCCCTCTCCCTCCCCCCCTCTCTCTCTGTACCGCATGGAGGTTGCTCAGATTTATACTTCTTGTATGTGTCTGTGTGTGTGTCATCTACATACACCTCCATATACACACACAGCATAGAGGTTTGGAGGCAAAAATATTACGGGAGTGACGAGGGGGTCCTTATCTTTGCTGTGATATACACCAACCGACACCCACACACCTACACCTACGCCTACACACACACGCGCGCGCGCGCACACACACACACACACACGCACACGCGCGCGCACACACACACACACACACACACACACACACACACACACCGAGGTATAAATCCGACCGAGTCTCATAACTTGAGATCTAACAAAAGAATACTTAATTATAGTGTTTTGGGAAGCTCTTAAAATAAACTATAAGAATATGTAACAAAAAATAGAGTTCCATTTAGAAAAACTTGACCTTCATATGATCTTGAATCTTCATCCAAGATCAAATTTTTATCATCATTAGGTACATTTTATTTAGACCTACAATTTTGTTCCTTACATATTTTCATTATAGTTGATCGTTTTCGAGATATTTTAACGTTCCGTGACTTTTTGAAGACTCTGTATATCATTATATATATAATTACAGACAATGGTGCAATATGTTTGTAAAATTTGTTCATTATTACCTAGCAAACACAGAATATTACAGCAATATTACAGCAATATTGCGGCAATATTATAATATTGCAGCAATGTTATGGCAATATTACAACATTGCAGCAATGTTACCTGCAATATTCTGTGTTTACTGGGTAATAATAAAATTTGAATTTTTAACGATAACAATTAAGTCATCACATGCAAAATTGAGAATGCTAATATGTTTATGCTTTTTCACTTTTAGCTAAAAAAAAAACGACTAGCTATGTGGATCTCTTAATAGCGGCGTCTCAAGAAGGACTTCTCACTGATTTAGATATCAAAGAGGAAGTTGATACTTTTATGTTTGAAGTATGTATTTGTAAGATTTTTAAAATTTTTTATTTACACATTACATATCTAAACACATAAAATGTAATGTGATTATAGGGTCATGAGACTACAGCGATGGGTATAACATTTGCTTTATTATTATTAGCTGAACACAAAGATATCCAGGTACTTTTTTGTTGATATATATTTATAATGATGATGTATGATTTTTATTCAAACTACTACAGATATCTAATTTTGTTGTAATGTATGTTTCTATATACATATGTGCGTGTGCATGCGTGCGTGCGTGCGTGCGTGGGTGTGTGTGTGCGTGTATGTGTGCGCGTGCGCGTGTGTACAGGGTGTCCCATTTTAAAAAACGTATTTCGACAATTCTTCAACGATGCGTTTCCAGCAAAGATGTTTCAAACAAAAGTTGTATAGTTTCAAGGGGGACGTAAGATGGTGTCATTAATTTCACTTTGAATAGTTACTTGAAGGTCATGTGAAAGTCCTTCAATTTTTTAAATGAAACCGCCTATATTTTATTACATATTGCTGTAGCTTATCTCGAGAACTTTCCAAAACACTATAATGAAGTGTTTTTCATTAAATACTTTCCGAGTTATGAGGCTTGAAGTAATTTCTTAATTTTATATAAACCGTAAAATAATAAATTGCAAATTACATATTTTTTCTCCGAAACAATTATGTGTTTTTTTTACACCAATCAATTTCTTACATCATTTTATGCATAAAAGTATTAAGGAAAGATAATCGAAAAATGAATATTTTACAAGATATTTTACAGTTTATGTAAAATTAAGAAATGATTTCAAGCATAACTCGGAAAATACTTTATAGTATAACTAATAATTATAACTTTATACAACTAACTTTATAGAAAACTAATTTATAGTGTTTTGGAAAGCTCTCGAAGTCAGACAAGTCTACAAAAATATGAAATAAAAAATGTGTTCCATTTAAGAAATTAAAGGTGACCTTCATGTGACCTTCAAATAATTCTTCAAGGTCAAACCAATCATACTCTCTTATAGCCTCCTCAAAACCATACAACTTTTCTCTGAAACATTTTTGTCTTAAATTTATAGATTTTGAGATATTTTAGTGCGTAGATTAAAATGGCTTTTCAAAAAAACTGAAAAATTAAAATAAATCTCTCTTTCTAAAATAAATACAAAGAATTTATTAAAATTTATTAATCAAATTTATTAGAATTTATTAATAATTTATTTGTATTTAGGTGTATAAAAATCAGAATATTATTAATATATTTTAACTATTATTATGCAGAAACGCGTTAGAATTGAAGTCCGTGATACAAGAGAGTGGAGGAAAACTTACTATGAGTTCATTGCAAAATTTATTATATTTAGATAGATGTTTAAAAGAAACACTACGTTTATATCCTAGTGTGTTTCTTATATCACGAAAGGCAACGGAGGATATAAAATTACGTAATTAATTACTTTTTTGTTGCATATATATCTTTGAACATATCACACTATATTATTAAATATAAAATATATAAATGTTTAATTACTTTAATATTTTAAAGTAAACATTATTTACATATTATGTACATTTTTTTATTTTTCAATAGAATTATTATTTTTATTAAATCATATCTAATCTTATAAGATATAATCCTTTTTTAGACCTTTTTTAGAGTCATATATGGTCCCTGCTGGAACGACTGTACATCTTAATATTTATGGAGTTCACAGAGATCCTAATTTTTGGTCAAATCCAGAAATATTCGATCCGGATAGATTTTTGCCCGAAAAGGTCCAAAAGCGTCATCCTTATTCTTATTTACCATTTAGCGCAGGACTACGGAATTGTATAGGTAAATTATTTAATTTTTTCTTTTTTTTTTATCAATAGTTTTCGATACAATTTCGAATTATAGGACAACGATTCGGTTTGTTGGAAATGAAGACCATAATAGCTTCTTTGGTGGGTAATTTTTATTTAGAACTTGTTGATTATTTAAAGGATCTCGAAATGAAAACTGCTCTAGTACTTCGTCCTTCTCATCCGGTTCGTATAAGATTTGTTCCAATTGAATGCGAACAATTGGAAACATTTGAAACAAATACAAGCAGGACAGACGTAAGAAATTGATGTATTGCAAAAGTGGAAGAAAATTTTATCCATGTATTTTAGCCATGTAATTATTTTGAATATTGTGAACAATATACACATTATACATAGACATATATATGTACATATATACATACATACATATACAGGGTCTACCAAAAGTGTGGAAACCCCTAAATATCTCGGAAAATATACGTTTTACAGAAAAGTGTTTCCAACAAAAGTTGTAGGGTTTAAGAAGATCTATATACTGATTCTATCAGTTTGACCTTGGATGGCGTCGTCAAGGTCAGGTCAAGGTCACATTGACTTTTTTAAATGACACCCCCTACATTTGATTGCATATTCTTATAGCTTAATTCAAGAGCTTTCCAAAACACTATAATAATGTTCATTTTTATTAAGTACTTTGCGAGTTATGAGGGTTGAAATAATTTCTTAATTTTACATAAACCATAAAATATCTAGTAAACCATTCATTTTTCGATTATCTTACCTTCATACTTTTATGTACAAAATAATGAAAGGAATCAATTGGTGTAAAGAAAACATACAGTTGTTTTTAAGAAAAAATATGGAATTGTTAATTGCAAATTACATATTTTTTCTTAGAAACAACTATGTGTTTTCTTTACACCAATTTATTCCTCTCATTAATTTGTACATAAAAGTATGAAGGTAAGATAATCGAAAAATGAATGGTTTACTAGATATTTTATGGTTTATGTAAAATTAAGAAATTATTTCAACCCTCATAACTCGCAAAGTACTTAATAAAAATGAACATTATTATAGTGTTTTGGAAAGCTCTTGAATTAAGCTATAAGAATATGCAATCAAATGTAGGGGGTGTCATTTAAAAAAGTCAATGTGACCTTGACCTGACCTTGACGACGCCATCCAAGGTCAAACTGATAGAATCAGTATATAGATCTTCTTAAACCCTACAACTTTTGTTGGAAACACTTTTCTGTAAAACGTATATTTTCCGAGATATTTAGGGGTTTCCACACTTTTGGTAGACCCTGTATATGTATGTATGTATATATGTACATATATATGTCTATGTATAATGTGTATATTGTTCACAATATTCAAAATAATTACATGGCTAAAATACATGGATAAAATTTTCTTCCACTTTTGCAATACATCAATTTCTTACGTCTGTCCTGCTTGTATTTGTTTCAAATGTTTCCAATTGTTCGCATTCAATTGGAACAAATCTTATACGAACCGGATGAGAAGGACGAAGTACTAGAGCAGTTTTCATTTCGAGATCCTTTAAATAATCAACAAGTTCTAAATAAAAATTACCCACCAAAGAAGCTATTATGGTCTTCATTTCCAACAAACCGAATCGTTGTCCTATAATTCGAAATTGTATCGAAAACTATTGATAAAAAAAAAAAGAAAAAATTAAATAATTTACCTATACAATTCCGTAGTCCTGCGCTAAATGGTAAATAAGAATAAGGATGACGCTTTTGGACCTTTTCGGGCAAAAATCTATCCGGATCGAATATTTCTGGATTTGACCAAAAATTAGGATCTCTGTGAACTCCATAAATATTAAGATGTACAGTCGTTCCAGCAGGGACCATATATGACTCTAAAAAAGGTCTAAAAAAGGATTATATCTTATAAGATTAGATATGATTTAATAAAAATAATAATTCTATTGAAAAATAAAAAAATGTACATAATATGTAAATAATGTTTACTTTAAAATATTAAAGTAATTAAACATTTATATATTTTATATTTAATAATATAGTGTGATATGTTCAAAGATATATATGCAACAAAAAAGTAATTAATTACGTAATTTTATATCCTCCGTTGCCTTTCGTGATATAAGAAACACACTAGGATATAAACGTAGTGTTTCTTTTAAACATCTATCTAAATATAATAAATTTTGCAATGAACTCATAGTAAGTTTTCCTCCACTCTCTTGTATCACGGACTTCAATTCTAACGCGTTTCTGCATAATAATAGTTAAAATATATTAATAATATTCTGATTTTTATACACCTAAATACAAATAAATTATTAATAAATTCTAATAAATTTGATTAATAAATTTTAATAAATTCTTTGTATTTATTTTAGAAAGAGAGATTTATTTTAATTTTTCAGTTTTTTTGAAAAGCCATTTTAATCTACGCACTAAAATATCTCAAAATCTATAAATTTAAGACAAAAATGTTTCAGAGAAAAGTTGTATGGTTTTGAGGAGGCTATAAGAGAGTATGATTGGTTTGACCTTGAAGAATTATTTGAAGGTCACATGAAGGTCACCTTTAATTTCTTAAATGGAACACATTTTTTATTTCATATTTTTGTAGACTTGTCTGACTTCGAGAGCTTTCCAAAACACTATAAATTAGTTTTCTATAAAGTTAGTTGTATAAAGTTATAATTATTAGTTATACTATAAAGTATTTTCCGAGTTATGCTTGAAATCATTTCTTAATTTTACATAAACTGTAAAATATCTTGTAAAATATTCATTTTTCGATTATCTTTCCTTAATACTTTTATGCATAAAATGATGTAAGAAATTGATTGGTGTAAAAAAAACACATAATTGTTTCGGAGAAAAAATATGTAATTTGCAATTTATTATTTTACGGTTTATATAAAATTAAGAAATTACTTCAAGCCTCATAACTCGGAAAGTATTTAATGAAAAACACTTCATTATAGTGTTTTGGAAAGTTCTCGAGATAAGCTACAGCAATATGTAATAAAATATAGGCGGTTTCATTTAAAAAATTGAAGGACTTTCACATGACCTTCAAGTAACTATTCAAAGTGAAATTAATGACACCATCTTACGTCCCCCTTGAAACTATACAACTTTTGTTTGAAACATCTTTGCTGGAAACGCATCGTTGAAGAATTGTCGAAATACGTTTTTTAAAATGGGACACCCTGTACACACGCGCACGCGCACACATACACGCACACACACACCCACGCACGCACGCACGCACGCATGCACACGCACATATGTATATAGAAACATACATTACAACAAAAATTAGATATCTGTAGTAGTTTGAATAAAAATCATACATCATCATTATAAATATATATCAACAAAAAAGTACCTGGATATCTTTGTGTTCAGCTAATAATAATAAAGCAAATGTTATACCCATCGCTGTAGTCTCATGACCCTATAATCACATTACATTTTATGTGTTTAGATATGTAATGTGTAAATAAAAAATTTTAAAAATCTTACAAATACATACTTCAAACATAAAAGTATCAACTTCCTCTTTGATATCTAAATCAGTGAGAAGTCCTTCTTGAGACGCCGCTATTAAGAGATCCAACATAGCTAGTCGTTTTTTTTTTAGCTAAAAGTGAAAAAGCATAAACATATTAGCATTCTCAATTTTGCATGTGATGACTTAATTGTTATCGTTAAAAATTCAAATTTTATTATTACCCAGTAAACACAGAATATTGCAGGTAACATTGCTGCAATGTTGTAATATTGCCATAACATTGCTGCAATATTATAATATTGCCGCAATATTGCTGTAATATTGCTGTAATATTCTGTGTTTGCTAGGTAATAATGAACAAATTTTACAAACATATTGCACCATTGTCTGTAATTATATATATAATGATATACAGAGTCTTCAAAAAGTCACGGAACGTTAAAATATCTCGAAAACGATCAACTATAATGAAAAATATGTAAGGAACAAAATTGTAGGTCTAAATAAAATGTACCTAATGATGATAAAAATTTGATCTTGGATGAAGATTCAAGATCATATGAAGGTCAAGTTTTTCTAAATGGAACTCTATTTTTTGTTACATATTCTTATAGTTTATTTTAAGAGCTTCCCAAAACACTATAATTAAGTATTCTTTTGTTAGATCTCAAGTTATGAGACTCGGTCGGATTTATACCTCGTGTGTGTGTGTGTGTGTGTGTGTGTGTGTGTGTGTGTGCGCGCGCGTGTGCGTGTGTGTGTGTGTGTGTGCGCGCGCGCGCGTGTGTGTGTAGGCGTAGGTGTAGGTGTGTGGGTGTCGGTTGGTGTATATCACAGCAAAGATAAGGACCCCCTCGTCACTCCCGTAATATTTTTTGCCTCCAAACCTCTATGCTGTGTGTGTATATGGAGGTGTATGTAGATGACACACACACAGACACATACAAGAAGTATAAATCTGAGCAACCTCCATGCGGTACAGAGAGAGAGGGGGGGAGGGAGAGGGAGAGAGGGAGGGAGGGAGGGTAAGAGAGACAGACATTCGCACACACGCACGCACGTACGCATACACTTTTTTCTCTCTCTCTTTCTCTCTTTTACGCACACACTCCGTCATACACACATCGCGTGTAGCAATCAACTGATTACAGCTTTCGACGGCCAGCGATCCGGAATAACTTTTAATAATTAACGTTATTTTAAGGAACACGTATTCCTGATGTAATTCTAATACATTTTCTTCTTTACCAAAATTTTATTTAAAGCATAATTTTATGTTATAAAATAAAATAGTTAGTGACTCATGCAGTGGTAATCACCCGTCGGGCGATCAGCTGCGCCCGCGCTCGCGGCGCACCGAGCCGCTTCTGCCTGCCTTCTGTACCCGACGCGTGATTTACTAACTATTTTTGCTTATAACTCAAAAACTACGCGTCAAATCAAATTTTGGTAAAGAAAAAATTGTCTTAGAATGGTGTCAGGAAAAAAATTGTCTTAGAATGGTGTACGTCATTTTACAGATGGAAGGTTTTTCGGGATCACCCTGTATATATATATATATATATATATATATATATATATATATACAGGGTGTCAATTAAGTCCCGGGACGGCTGAATATTTTCTCATGTAAGGTATTTTTGAAAAAGGTCAAGGTCATTTCTGAAGTAATTTTCAACGAGGAATTCAACGGTGACCTTCAATTTGACCTTGAGCTTGACCTTCAAGGTTATTTGAAGGTCAAAGTGTTTTTTTTAAATAGGAACCCCTATTTTTGATTGTATATTCTTATAGCTGACCTCGAGAGCTTTCCAAAACACTATAATAAAATATTTTTCTCTCAAGCATTTATCGAGTTATGATGCTTCAAATCATTTCTTAATTTTACATAAACCGTAAAATATCTTGTAAAATATTCACTTTTCGATTTTTTTACCTTAATACTTTTATGTACAAAATAATGAGAGGAATCAATTGGCGTAAAGAAAACATATAGTTGTTTTTAAGAAAAAATATGGAATTGTTAATTGCAAATTACATATTTTTTCTTAAAAACAACTATATGTTTTCTTTACGCCAATTGATTCCTCTCATTATTTTGTACATAAAAGTATTAAGGTAAAATAATCGAAAAGTGAATATTTTACAAGATATTTTACGGTTTATGTAAAATTAAGAAATGATTTGAAGCATCATAACTCGATAAATGCTTGAGGGAAAAATATTTTATTATAGTGTTTTGGAAAGCTCTCGAGGTCAGCTATAAGAATATACAATCAAAAATAGGGGTTCCTATTTAAAAAAAACACTTTGACCTTCAAATAACCTTGAAGATCAAGCTCAAGGTCAAATTGAAGGTCACCGTTGAATTCCTCGTTGAAAATTACTTCAGAAATGACCTTGACCTTTTTCAAAAATACCTTACATGAGAAAATATTCAGCCGTCCCGGGACTTAATTGACACCCTGTATATGATGAATAGTATGATTTATACAGCATGGTCCATTTTAGTAAGGCCACCTAAATATCTCTTCGAATTGTAATAATACAAAAAATATTTTTTATATAATTAAATGGTCAAAAAATCAATATTTGACAAAAGTTTTTTTTGGTTCAGGACAGGTCATTTTTTTCGGAGTTTTCAAGGTCATTGATGTTTTTTTGCATATAACTATATATTTTTTTATTGCATTGTGTAGATGATTAAAAAATATGTTCAGACATGTATAATAACATGACCTTGAAAATTTTACATAAAATTTATGTCGAGATCGTAGGCTTTGAGAGACCTAAACCTATAAATGTATTATTAGTGCAATAAAAAATATTTTATTGCACTAATAATATTTAGAAGGCTTAATCATGAAATGTATATGGCAGCATTCACTTTCTTTTTAAGTTAATATTTTCGTAGATGTCCAAAGTGATATCCCTCTACGACTGTCTGAAACGAGCAATAACCGATTATAATAATCTTTTGATTATTTCAGAATTAATATCAGCAAGAGCTCTAACTTTGTACATTCGAATTGTTTCCCTTAAACACTAATCACTTTTATCACAAATGAATATCATATTAATCTTTTTTTGCGTTGAATTATGCACAGTTTGTACACGTAGATATTCTAACAAATTAAAAATGAAAAAAATATTTAAACCGTCATAGATCACCAGTATTGTAATAGTAAATATGTTTATTTTATATTTATAGGCTCTCGATTGTTACGTCTTGGCCAAAACCTGCGATCTTGATAGACATAAATTGCACGTAAAACTTTAATTTTTGGAAATCGAGGTCATTTTTCGAAGTCACGTTATTACGCATGTTTGAACACATTTACTGATCAGCTACACGATGTAATAAAAAATATAATTGTAAAAAACATCAATGACCTTGAAAACTCCAAAAAACATGACTTTGGAAAATATTCTTGTCGGATATCAGTCCTTCGAAACCATTCACATTATATAACAAATATTTTTTTGCATCATCACAATTTGAAAAAATATTTACGTAACCTTACTTAAATGGACTATCCTGTATAATATTATATTGTACTATTTAAATTTAAATTAGAACCTTCTTCTCTCTCTTTCTCTTGCGTACAAGAGAGAAGTTTGCAGTAACATTGCTTGTTACAACATTGCACATTGCAGTATTGAAATATTAGAAATATTAGAAATATTGCAAAGATATTATTTTATAATAGATATAGAAATATTGCAAAGACATTATTTACAATAGACATTGCTTTATTTTAGTACTGTTGCAACAACATTTTAAAATAGCGAAAATATGTAATAATATGTGGTGTGTTCCTTCGCTATGCGGCGAAACCAAATTTAACTAATACTTATTCAATTTTTCATTATGAAATGGATATAAAGCTTATAAAGGCTGGTACTAACATAAAATCCAAAGTATATTTCTTTTCTGTTAAGTCCAATTTAATTTCTGATTTAAAATAATTAAGTTAATTTAAAATATTTTGGATTGGGATTCAGAATATTAAACAGATTATTTGAAATTAGGGGGAGAGGGAGAGAGAGAGAGAGAAAGATGGATAAAAAATCTATTTATACATAAAATATTCTTATTTCCGAGTGTATATAAGATGGTTGTGTATAGATTATTGAGATAAAAATTTAATATATAAAAACACTAATAAACATTGGTTAATAAACCCTTTAATAAACACATTTTAGAGTTCTAGTTTGAAGAACATAGAAACATCAATCAATTATATTTTATAAGTTTTTACAAGCTTCCGAGATATCTATCATAAACAAAAATATTCCATGGAAAATATTATTAGAAAATATGCAAATATTACTAGATGGTTGCAATAATGTTGTATTCTTTTCAACACATTACATTGCAATGTAACCACGACGTTTCGTTGCACATTACATTGCAATGTAACCATGATGTTTCGTTGTACATTACTATATGATTTCGTTGCGACATTAAAAAAGAATATCTTAATATTGCCATAATTTTACAATAATAATATAGCAAAGTTTGCAATAATGCAATGTTTCAAAAACGAAAATATTCTGCAATGTCTTGCAACTTTTCTGTGCTGTATGAGCTTAATAGATGTATAGGGCCGGTTCTAACTCAGGTCCTCTCAAGGAGGTGAGGTGCGAGGGGATCTCAGTGGAACGGGGTATAACGTCACGCGGGGGTTGCGGGGGGGACTCACGTTGAATGACAACCATAAACAAAAGAACAAAAAGAACGGTTCTTTTGAAAAGGATTTTGAGCCTAATCCTTTTTTTTATTTTTTTATTTAATTATTTTTTTTTGTTCTTTTATTTATTTTATTGCATTTTATTGTATTTTATTTTATTTTATTGCATTTTATTGTATTTTATTTTATTTTATTGCATTTTATTGTATTTTATTTTATTTTATTGCATTTTATTGTATTTATTTTATTTTATTGCATTTTATTGTATTTTATTGTATTTTGAAAAGGATTTTGGGCCTAATCCTTTTTTTGTTCTTTTATTTTATTTTATTTTATTGCATTTTATTGTATTTTGAAAAGGATTTTGGGCCTAATCCTTTTTTTTTTGTTCTTTTATTTATTTATTGCATTTTATTGTATTTTATTTTATTTTATTGCATTTTATTGTATTTTTAAGGAAAAATTTTAATAGCACCGATGTTCGGCTGCTTTGTACTCTCGAGGTACACCCCTAATATAGATAATTCCAGGTTTTTTTTATAGTATCCCATTTTGCAAGAAAATTTTCTTTCGTGTCCCCGACAGTCTCTGAAAGCTTGTTGGTCGAATATAAGAAGGATCGAAGCGCGGCAGATCATAGTACATCATTTGAAAATGCATCGACGCGTCGGTAGCAAAAGTAGTGTTCTCTCAGAAAGTATAGTGTGTTTTGTCAGAAAGATTTTTTGCGCGATTTCATGTTCAAGATAGCGAACGGTATTGTTTATCGTGTGCAAAAGTTACGTGCAAGTGCTCCGTAGAAATAGAATCCTGTGACATATTGTAAAAAACAGAAAAAAATAGAAAACATCGAGCAGACTGAAGGCGATCTGATGGAGCGATCTCGCCAAATTGCCATTTTGGGCGAGTATTTTGCATGGCTGCAGCATTGCGAGGAATTGATCAAAGAGCTCGAAGAACGCAGTCGTATTAAGCGTCCGCGACTCTCGATCAGAAATAGACAATCTCTGGCAACTAAAATCGCGCGACTCGAAAGTGCAAAAACTCGATTGCAGAGACGATTTATTCCCAGTAGTGGTAATTACAGCGATGACAATAACGCGGAAAGACTCGTTTGGCGAGAGATCGATACCGCGTTCGAGAGTCGCGTATCGACTGGTGCGGTGATAAATTATAATCACATCGAACTGCGCCAATTTCTCGATGACGCTAAAGACATTGTGTTGGAACATGTGCAGGACGCTCTAGAAAAACACAGCAGTGTAAAAGTGAACACAATATTCAATGGTGAATTTGTGGCCGGAGATAAACATGCGAATAAAAGTGTGAATACGAGAAACCATGAACTCTTTCGCACGTCCGATTTACGCGAGTGTACGAACAGCGCGTTATCGAGTTCACCCTAGCGTCTCTGGAAAAGTTTCAGGAACGCGATAGCGGGTGGGCTTTGTCGCGAATACTGAACTTGACTGTAAATATTAACAAGTACAATCCCATGCGCGAGGGATGTCACATCAAGTTACCGCGGGATATTATGATGAAGAGAGCGGTGATTAACGTGCAATCGAAAGACATGCATGTTTCGCGTGGGCAGTGGTCGCTGCTCTGTATCCCGCAGAAAGGAACGTGGAACGGGAATCATCGTACCCGCATTACGCGACAGTGTTGAATCTCCGGGACATTGAGTTTCCAGTGACTGTAAATCAAATTAAAAAATTTGAACTTGCAAACAGTATCTCGATCAACGTGTACAGCATCGAGAAAGAGAACAATATTGCCCCGATACGTCTTTCACAGCAGAAGCGAGATAAGCACATCAATTTGCTATACGTGAAAGATAGTAACAACAGCGTGGGACATTTCGTGTGGATCAAGAATCTATCCCGACTAGTGAGCTCGCAACTGAGCAAAAAAGATCACAAGAAATATGTCTACGATCGGTAAGTTTATTTTATATTATTTGAATAATTATAATTTGTATAATTATAATATGGATTGTTAAAATCTTAATTAAAATTTTTCTTTTACAGATGTCTACATTATTTTGGTTCGGACGACAAGTTGCAGTCGCATACGGTCGACTGCGGAAAGCTAAACGATTGCGCTGTCCGATTGCCGAGCGACAAGGACAAGTGGCTCGAGTTCAGCAACCCTAATCGGAAGGAGCGGCTCTATTCATTGTGTGGACGCCGACTTGGAATGCGTCCTGGCCAAGAAGGAAGAAGAGAAATTATATCAACATCATCATCAAGTATTTAGTTTAGCTTATTATGTACATTGCTCGTTCGACAAATCTTTATCGGCGTATCATTCGCGTCGTAGCGCTGATTGTATAGCATGGTTCGTCAAAGATCTTAAAAATTTGGCATTACGTGTAAAAAATATTTTAAAAACAAATGTCCCCATGGTAGATTTGACATTCGAAGAACGGAAAAATTTTATCACGTTACTCAATGTCACATATGCGAAAAACCGTTCGCGCAAGACGATACACGCGTTCGCGATCATTGCCATCTGACCGGGCCGGTACAGAGGTCCTGCACATTCAAATTGTAATCTAAATTATAAAGATTCTTTTTGCATTCCGATAGTTTTTCACAATTTATCCGGTTACGATTCTCATTTATCGAGGAAATAGCCACAGCGTTCGAAGGGAAAATCGAGTTATTGCCGATAACCAAGGAAAAATATATTTCGTTTACCAAAAGTGTTGATTTTAAAGAAGAATAAAAAAAAATATAAAATTACGTTTCATCGATTCATACAAATTTCTCGCATCGAGTCTCGATAAATTGGCATCATTTTTGGACAAAGATAAACTCAAAATTTTAAAATCGGAATTTCAAAATTTATCTGCCGAAAATTTCAATTTGTTAACGCGAAAAGGTGTATTTCCATACGAATACATCGATTCCATTGACAGGTTGCACGATACGTGTTTACCACCGCGCGAATCGTTTTACAGTTCCTTGACCGGTGAAACTGTATCCGAGAGCGATTACGCGCATGCCGAGAACGTCTGGACGCGGTTCTCCATTCGGACGCTGGGCGAATATAGCGACTTGTACCTCAAAATCGATGTCTTGTTATTAGCCGACATTTTCGAAAACTTTCGAGATAAATGTATCAAAAGTTACGGACTCGACCCCGCGTATTACTATACTCTCCCCGGATACACGTGGGACGCCATGTCGAAACATACAAAGATTACGTTCGAGCTGCTTACGGATATCGACATGGTTATGTTCATCGAACGTGGTATACACGGTGGTCTAAGTCAGAGCTCGGCAAGAACTGCACATTTCGGCCGATTTTCAGCTGGCTCCGTCTAGCGCGTCCCCCCTTTCTTCACCGTCTCGCACAAAGCCTACGAGCCGCTCGGCGGTCAGGAGCGGGCGTATGGCAATAGCTTTCCACGTCACCCATGAGGTAGTATTGTTGACGCGTTTTTTTTTTTAAGTGGTATCCCCAGTAGGCCTAATCCACTGATTAGCTAAAACGACCCTTTAACTAATTGCATAAGACGATAAAGTTTATCACGTCTTATGCGACTTGCTACATGCCGTATGCAAATAGATGTTCCTGATCTCGCTTATAAAAAATCCCGAAATCATAATATTCATATCAATATTATTATAATTTCGTGCAATTAGTTAAAGGGTCGTTTTAGTCATCAGTGAATTAGGCCTATTGAGGATATCACTTAAAAAAAACGCGTCAACAATAGTACTTCATGGGTGACGTAGAAAGCTATTGCCATATGCCCCTCCTGACCGCCGAGCGGCTCGTAGGCTTGTGCGAGACGGCGAAGAAAGGGGGACGCGCTAAGCGGAGCCAGCTGAAAATCGGCCGAAATGTGCAGTTCTTGCCGAGCTCTGGTCTAAGTCAATGTTCCAACAGATACGCTCGCGCTAATAACAAGTATATGGAGTCGTACGATCCATCGAAACCATCGTCGTACATGATGGGTCAACGACGTGTCGAATTTTGATGTATCATCATCGCGCTAGATTCCCCTACGGGCTATATCTTCGAAGTGGATCTCGAGTACCCGCAACATCTTCACGATGCGCACACTGACCGTTTGTCCGACGTGCGACAAGCCGCCCGGTAAACAGGAATTCAAACTGCTTGCAACGTTATACGATAAGAAGCGTTACGTGATACACTACCGTAATTTACAGGCAATGTACGCAACACGGCCTTCGTGTAACAAAAATACATAGAATTTTACAGTTTTCTCAATCTCCATGGCTTCGAAATTACATAGAATTAAATACACATTTCAGAACATTGGCTAAAAATGATTTCGAAAAAAATTTATATAAATTAATGAATAATGCTGTATTTGGTAAAACGATGGAAAATGTGCGTAATCGTGTAGATGTAAAATTATTAACAAAATGGGATGGCCGATACGATGCAGAAGCGATGATCGCGAAACCAAATTTCCACAGCAGAAGCGTTTTTTCAGAAAACTTAATCGCTGTGGAATTGCGTAAACTCGAGGTGAAATTCTACAAGCCGATTTACGTGGGTATGTGCATACTCGACATATCCAAGACATGTTTGTATGAATTTCATCACGAGTACATGCCTCTGTATCGCGATAAGATTATGTATACCGACACAGATAGTTTGATATATCACATTGAGTGCGTTGATGTGTATGAGAACATGAAGCGCGATATCGCCAGATTTGACACGAGCGATTATGCGGTAGACAATGCGTACGATATACCGCTTGAAAATAAAAAAGTATCGGGCCTGATGAAGGACGAAAATAATGCCTTAATGACCGAATTCGTCGGGCTCAGAGCAAAGATGTACGCATTACGGGTCGATGGGAAAAAGGATACAAAAAAAGTTAAAGGCGTCAAGAGCAACGTTGTCGCGAGAACGATAACGTTTGACGATTACACGCGGTGTTTGAAAGAAGAAATTGAAATGACGCGCCAGCAGTCGTGTATACGATCTAAACTGCACCAAGTATACACGATCTGCGAGACGAAAATTGCTTTGAGTCCGTACGACGATAAGCGGTATATCGTACCTGAAACCACAGATACATTACCGTGGGGACATTATAGGATACCATTGTAATATGTAATGTAAAATGAAATTAAAATGTAAAAGGTTGCGATAAACTATCTATTAAAAGAATTATTAATAAAGGATTTTATATTGCATATATTTTTATGTAATGTAATGTATATTTCATACATCTTATTATCTTATTAAAAAAAAATACATGTACTATCGAAAGAAATATTTAATAAGGATTTTTTTTATCGGGAATTCTCTTGAAGACAACTCGTAATAATATGAGTACCAATATACCTCACTTTGTCTATGATTATAGAGTCATCTTTGTCAATGTCGAATCGTTTGTTTACCGAGACGCCATTCCATTCTCGTCGAAATAGACGCCGTACACGTGATCGTCGTGTTTTTTCTTTCGTCACCGCTAGAAGAGCACCTATGTATTTTGTCCCATGATCCAAGTGCTCTCGTAACACTTCTTGACCTTCCGACGTTTGTAATCTGTTTTCGAACGGATGTTTCGAGCGGGTTGCCCGTGGTTTTCGAAAACTTCCTCTGAAACAGGTTTTTTT